TCACGTTTGTACTAGTGAAATAGCAACCACTGCTTTGCACTACTAACTTCAGTAGATTAACGATATATACATAGTATTTTATTATTGACTTGGATTCCGTTGTCCACTATTTTCACAAATGATCGCTCTTCATTGTAGTTTTAATAACTATTAGGTTTTGTCATAATTTTTAATATGGTTTTAACTTATTTCAAACTAATACTAGCTGGAGTACCGTTAAAGAAGCAGGGAAAAAATAAAGATGCTTATTTCTAGCTTGGGACTCTTCAGTACTATCTGCTCACGGCTCTACAGAAAACTAGGCACAGGGTATTTACAGTTCTGGGCAATATCCTAAGTTTGATTGCTTATGGAGTAGTTGGTTCATATAACTGATAAATACCATACTGGGGTAAATCGGATGTCCATTGCTTTTTGTGGTGAGGATATATATCCTCATATTTACAAATAACTTGATGAATAGGTTCGTATAAAGACGTAGAGGATCTTTTTCATATTTGAATTTCTTGAAGCTTACACCTGAATTTTAAATTCTGTTAAGGCTATAAAGAGAAAATTTACATTTGCTTTTTTATGTTGTATGCAAATCTTAGGCTGTTTGGTTAGAACGTTATCATAACATTGATTTACTGCTAATCCTCTACATCCAAGAGACATATCTACCTAAACCGTCCAAGATAAAAAAAAAGCTACTCTCAGGGTACCACTGGAAGAGTGAAAAAATAGATCCGGCACCATAATTAAACTAAACTGACTCATGATTTCAATCTGTGAAAATTTCTAAAATCTCCACAAACCACTACTGATAATAATCATCTGCTCACTAGTGACTGACTTCAAGAGATACTTCGGGAGATCTAGTGGGAAGCCGTTACCAGTGGAGTACAACCAGATCTGTTGTGAGATATCAGCTCACTGAAGACAATGGTGTATGGTGGCGCAACTTCGTGGATTGGTTGAAGTTAGACATTAACACCGTTGGATGCCGGCTCAGTGGTCTAATGGTTAGGTGCTTGCGCGCGAAGCCAGTAGGTCCTGGGTTCGAATCCCGCGGGGTGCGGGTCGTGGATGCGTACTGCTGAGGGGTCCCGTACTATGACGAAACGGCCGTCCAGTGCTTCCAGGTTTTTCAATGGTAGTCTAGCTTCAACTGACTCATGATTTCAATCTGTGAAAATTTCTTTAATCGTTTAAAAATTCCCATCATTATCAAAATGCAGAAAACATGAACGAATAAAATATATTTTGTTATAAATTCTCATGGGATTCTTCAGTGATGTGTCTAGATTATTAATCCAAGAGAATAGCTAAATATAAAACAAATCAATCTTATTAAATTAATATTAAGTATGTTTAAGATTGTTTGTAAAATAAAATTAGTGCTGTTGAAATGACTAGTATGAAAGCAATTGATCTGACTTGTATTTACGTTATTTCTCTTGCTTTATGTTATCTACATTTATTCTAATAATGAATTTCCCAATTTCATTCAATGTATAAGCCTTTTACGTTTGTATTGTATGTTAGTCATTTCAATATTGACAGTTTGATTTGATTTTACAAACAATCCTAAATTCATAGGACGAAACGGTTGTTCAATGGTCCCAGGTTTTTCATGGTGGTCTAGCTCCAATTGACTCATGAATTTATCTATTAAATTACTAGTATAAGTGTTGTGGAGATTGTTAAGTTTTTGATTGAGATCATGAACCGATTGATGGCCTAACATCAATCGGTTCATGATCTCAATCAAAAATATTAAGTTACTCTCTGATCGTATGCTATAATTGTTAACTATCTATTTACATTAGACTTGACTATTCCTTCGAATAATTTCTTCAGATATATAACTGTAAAACCTGATAAAAATTTCTTTAATTCTGTATGACTGACTAGTTATATGTGGAATGTGATAATTGTTGTCACTAAATTACTTTATCCTCATTTTTAGTTGTTATCTTATCAGTGAGCTTTTTCATTCTATCAAGAAAATTGCCAAAGTTTACTTAATATTTTGTCTATGTTCATAAAGCTGTTAATATGCCTCGTATATAGTGATACAGAAGATCTTGCGTAACATGGATTAATGGGATCAATATAAGCTTATTACGCAATAGAGTGATAGATTACTGCTCGGTCGGAGAATCGATCATTGAGTATATGAATAATTTTGTTAATCGAATTATATATATTCAATAAGTCTATCGGGAATTTCGTTCATATAATACTATCAATATGAGCAATCTTGGATATTAATTTAATTATAGATTACAGAAATATATTATTTTAGATTAGCATAATATGTGTGTCAATAGAATTGAACATTTGGGATGTAGGACAATGAGTAATTCACGAAATTTCCGAACATTTTTGATTTTTTCAGCATAGAACTAGTTGACCTCTTTTAGTTTAAAGGGTCATAAAGTGAGTATCTGAATTTTAATTATATTCGTGTTAATGTTGTATTCGTCAGAATCTAGTAAGATAATCTCTAGTCTTTTCTTTTATTAAAGACTCGTCTGATTGACGCAGTTTTCTGAATTCAGACGATTGTAGTATCCTAGATAAAGCTTGAGCGAAGGATCTATTACTTCGAATACCTGTTAACTGTTTACCAAATTACATTGCCAATGTATTTATCTCTTGTTCAATCGGTATTGGTAGTTATTAGGTTTTGTGATAGTGAATTTCAAAAATTTCAACTTCAAACTCAAATAAAATGTAGAGCTACATGCTCTCTGAGCATCAAAGTACAAGTTGAGCATCAAATGAGAAATAAGTGGATAATCCATCATTATATTATTATTTGTGTAATAAAGTGTTTTGCACAATAAATATTATTTCGAGTAGTGAAAATAACTATTAGAATAATCCCATTGAAATAATCCCATAATGTCATAGTTCGTCAGACATTTAAAATTTTGTCTATTTCATTCACCATCTTATATTTTCGATCCTTCTTTACTTAGCTAGTAGTAATGTTGCTAATTTTTGTTATTAATTGAAACTTAAACATGATTCTCTAGAAATATAATATCGAACATTTTTTTTAAAATGTATTTATGTAGGTGGGTTATATTTCGAATCTAGGATTGTAAAAATCAAACATTTGAGTCATTTTAAAGTATCATACCCATATGATCACAGGGCGTAAATTTTAAATTCAAATGTGTTATCCAATCAGTAGTACATTTAAGTTGTTCGACCGGTAAAAAACATACTTCAACTTCACTTCAAAAAGAGATCTGTTGTTTCATAAACTGTTCTTATGTTATTTTGGAATTTATTGTGTATTTACCGTAACAACTGGTTGAATTAATGATTAAGATTGTCAAACTTGGTCATTTACTAAAAGATAATTGAACAAGAAAAAAGCGATTATAGAAGGTTCAGTGTAATCCGCTATGTGAATTCTCATATTTCTACTTCTCTACTGTCCATTAGTAACCATTATTTTGTAATTTAAATGTATGAACAACGTAATGTGATTTTCCACTAAGGTTGATTATACAGCCTTAGTAATTTAACGTGGTAATAACTAACAACAGGCTATATAATACAACTTGTATTCTAAATACGACTCCGCTGAATGCACTTGAAAACCTGTCAACTTACTCTTACAGGATACTAAACAGATATTTGAATATAAAACATGTGTGAAGTTACTTCTTGAAACCCTTTCCAAATTCAGGACGTGTATATCTTCGATGAAACTATGATAATATATTGCTGATTGCATCGTATTTGATATGACGGGATGAAAAGTCGAAAATTAGATTGATTTACTCATTATGATTTTTATTCAATATTAATTCCGTTTTGATTCAATAATGATAATTACTCAATGGAGTATTTGTATTGTTTTCCCATATGACATTTTGTTCTGTATAACATACGATATTCTTGTATTAAGTTAACATGAACTATACTCAGCATATGATTTGTTATAACGGTAAGTATTTTTCATATGTATGTGATTGTATTCTAATTGTTAATCAAAAATGGGTGTATGAATCAATATATAAATGAGTGTATTTCCGACTAAACTTGTAGTGGTTGTTTGTGCTACTGGTTGCTTATGGGATATATTCTCCTCTTCCGAACTTGGACCTGGGCTAGGATTCATCGGAATAGATAGCTTAGCTGTCATTGTGTCACAGAGTCTTCGTTCCGTTCTCAGATTAGGTGAACTCGTAATCGCTTCAAACATAACAGTATTACAGTGATAAAATATTTCGGTTGCATTGTTGATTCAAAGATTTGTGCTGCAAAATACTTCAATAAAAAAATCTAATTATCAGAGTAGACTATTAATTTTCATAAAACTCCTAGGTATGATTTATTGGAAGTAGTTCTAAATGGTTTACACTATCTGAATAACCATTGCAAAAGAATAAGTGCAACCCTTCACATGGATGGATCTTAATTTTTTCAGCATTTGCTAAATGATACAATTTAAAATATTTTAACAAATGTTACTTCACTATTCATCATTTCAATGAACCAAAAATTTCATGTTTTACTTAGTGTTATGTGTCATATAGACTAGGTGTATTTTAAACCCATTCAGTTATGGTTATTACACAATATAGTTGACTTATGTCCTAAAATTTTTCAGTTTTCTTTACATTTCACGTAGTTTTTTTCTTGACTTAAAAGTATTTCATTATGATGCAAAGGATCTATCTAAGTGTATAAACCTTGCAATATCTTACCAAACAAGAACGAAGTAGTCTACGGAATGCTTGATTGGTTGCATGTTTGACGTTTTGACACTACGTTGAACTTGATAAAGTTGTTTATCAATTTTGTTAGTTATTTCTACGTGAAGTTGGAAAGGTGGGGAGAACTAGGTAAAATCAATAAATTTACAATTGTTTCTACATAAGTAGGATGAAAATGAGGAATTTCCATAAGTACGATAAGCTTGAAGAATAGTTTTCTATTTTCGAGTATGTTTCGACAACTAATTCACCATTTTTGTTTTTTTTTCTAAACAGGTTTATTATTGGGAATAACATTAACACACTGAATAGTGGCAATTTACGTGATCTAATTCATTTAAAAACACTGTAAGTATAACTAAATTGTTTTGGTACATACATATGTATTATTTGTCAAAAGCGTAACAAACACTGTAATTTGTTTTCATAAGTTTGTCACAGTTAAATCATTGTGATTTGACTCTGAAGACTGTAGTTGTAGTTGGCAGAAAGTTTCTTGTCTAACAAACAGAGTTGATGGATTTTTGAATGTTAAGTAACTTATAATCTAATGTGGCAATGAATCATTTACATTAGTCCTTATGTAGTCACTTTGATTGAATAATTATTACTAGTACTAAAAGTAGAGTTTTATATCCTAGCGAAGATTAAATTATGGGTAACTTCTGAGAGCTATTAATACAAATGTTCTTATTATGTAACTGTTGAGTAACTAGATTACATATATTTATATTCCTCTTATTATAAGCTTCATTTTGACTTATAGGCTATTATTATATGATTTGCTATTTTTAAGTTATACCCGGTTTATTAATTACAGTCTCTCATAATCACAGCCAATTTTTGGCTTGATCTTGTATAATTGATATGATATGATGTGGTCTGGTTGGCTTGTATATAATCCAAGTATGTTTGAAATATATATTTCATACAATGGAAGCTGTTACTGGCATTCTGGACTCAACAGGCAGGACTAGGCAGGAAAAGGATCAATAAGGAGGCTAGGCTGCTCATACCATTCAATACGTCATTGTTTTGACACAGTGTTAAGATTGTATAAGTCGTATTCTGATTGGCTACCTACATTATCATGTGATATGTTAACCGGTCACAACTCCTAAAAAGAGTAAATTAAAGAATTATTATTACCAATCTTATCATTAATTATTTCTAAGGTGATATTCTTCATTTCAAAATGAATGGTCCAATTGTTGTATAAAGTTATTAAAAACACAATTTAGAAATTAAAAAAAAACGAAGTGAACTTCAAGGCTTTCACAAACTTATATTAACTTATGTTGGGGAAATTCTTTTATATTCTCATATATGACTGACTCGTTACATTCAGCAGTGACTGTACATAAAAGCATTTCACTTGAATTTTGACTGAAGTTCCTAATTCGACCATTTTGATATTTACGTTACAAACAATATTAGCATTAAAAGAAATAAATACTGTCTGACCAAGTTAAAATACTAGTCGCTATTGTAACATTAATTGCTTTTCTTCTGAAAGGCAAAGTTTAAATCCACTTTCCATGTGAGTTAAGTATTTTTCTCTTCAGTATAATCACATATCTAAACAAAAATGCAACACAATAATGAAAATTTGTTGAAAGTTTCGGGAGGATTAATAATAGAAGTACAAAGGGTTAAACTGTTGGTTATGATAGTTTAAATATCAGGATAGAATATACGATACACTGGAATCAACTGGATAGCTTCTAAATACCACGTTGAATTTGACACCTGTTTCGCTATGATATGAGAATCTGAACCAATGCGTGTCTACTTTCTGATAGTTCATCGGACCCAGAATCCTCACAAAACCGATTTATTATGATGTCAACCAAGAAAAAACCCACAGTTCATCGATTTATTTAGAGTGCATGAGTTACCTAGCAGATGATTGGTCTGTATTTCCTGTTGATTAAACACAAAAATTTAAACAATTAATGCTCATTGATCGAGTGGCATCGTGTTAATTTTGAGATTAGACAATTCTAGATCCTATTACATGAGGACTGGTATGTATATACTGACTATTGAGTATATATTATGCATTAGATCTACAGGTTTATATACGTAGTTTAACACAGTTACCAGCCAAAAACTGTAAACATTTTGTAAAAGAATATATTCATAAATTTAACTGATTAACTATTCGATTGTAAATTCTTTTTCTATCAAAATTCACATAAAATTTTAGACATAAATTTCGAATTCATATGACCAGTTCTAACCTACTAACTGTTATTTTGTTTATTCTGATAGAAACAAATTTTAACCGATGTAATTTCAATAAATTTTAATATAGTAAATTGCATAATCATTCTAATTTGTCAGTTGTAACTAATGTAGCTTTTAGTGTAAAATTCAGACAGGGTATCATTATATATTATAAAAATGAAGCTGTAATATTAAAAAAAAATCATTACAAATTATCTTGTAGTCTTACTGATAGGGAGGTTGGAATATTCAACTTTTTCTTGATATTTTTTATTTTCCTACATAGATAATCATAGAAAGAATAATGAGAACGACAGTTTGGTTGGTTTCAGGTTGACAACATTAGCCCAATTTAATATGTGTATCATGTAGAATAACTTACTAAGATATATATACTTTTGGCGGTATCTAGTTTCATATAGATTTTGTAGATTGGATCCATTCTTTCGAAATCAGAAGACTCAGTGAAGAATTATTTCAGTTCGATTTTAAAATCTATCCATTGAGCTTCATTAAGTGTTAAGAAATAAAGTCCTAAACACTGAATTTGTTTTATGAAAAAAAATAACATAGTCGGAATGCAAGAGTTGACATTTGTCATAGTATTCATAGGGAAATATTTAGATTTAACTTGTACGAATATAGTTGAGTGATTTGTGAAGATTAAATCGATTTGAAAACACCTTTCGTCATGTTAGGTGGTTTAAGGTGATCGATAGGAAGCCGAGAACATGGGTAAATTCGGACCCATATCACTTACTTCTTGGACTGTGAACCTGAGTAACAAAAGTACGGATCTCACAGGAATTACCAACCCTCTCATTATTGCGAGCACGCTTGTATGGTAGGTTCTAACTATCATAAAACCTGGATCCCAGATTTTTTTCTGGCTAGCTCAACCCGTTTAACATTTGAATGTAGTGCATCCGATATCTAGTCACTTAAACTGGCGGCCACACTGCGACTCAATCAATAGACTTTGATCGGCATCAAGAACGAGACAAACATGAACTTTTTTGTTACTCAACGGTCAGGCAGCTCTCTCAAGCGTTTTCGTCATAAACTGATATGTTCTAGAGAAACATAGGACAAGTGGAAAAATTAGTGAGCTATTTCAGCACTCTTTCACTATACCTATTGATAACCTTTGAAAAAAATCAAATTTGAACTTCAAATTTTCTCAGTTATAACCATACATGTATACCACTGATTCGAAGTCCAAACGTTAGCAACTTCGACTTCAAATGATTTTCAAAAAAAACCGAAGTTATCATCCAATATCGAATGTGGACGACAATTTCAATCCTGACATGTTTCTAATACTGTGTGTTACTTATGTCGACAAACATAAGTAGTATGTAGCACTGATCAGAAGAGGAATGCATTGCAGCAGAATGCTATGAGGTCGGCTTAAAGAAAACAGAAACCGAAATAGAAAGACATTATGACTTTGAAGAATCGTACAGAATGTAAAGGACAAATGATGGAAATTTGCAAATGAAATATTCAGTGTATGGTTATCATATTTTACCAAGACATTCTGTAATTTCGTATTAAAATACAGTTGGTTGTCCCCAAACCGTATTCTCGTCTATTACAGTTTCACTTTGTCAAGTATTATGTAGGTAATAAAAAAAGCAGCTAATCAATAATGACTCAAGAAATATTTCGCTTTATATACCGAATAGTTCCATACAAATGTTCTATCCCGTATTACCTATATAGTGATATTTATTTATTTTATTAAGCTAATGATTCCTTCTATTTATTGAGAGTTAATTTAAGCTTTTGATGTTGCACAGGTAATCTATTCTAATTACTAATTAGTAATAAAAAAATCAGATTTTGAGTTGATATGCCAGTAGAGTCGTTTGTATTTAGATAGTCTGAAAATTAAAGTAGACTGATTTTATGTACATCGTTTTGAATACATCGAAACTGAAGTTTCAGAAAAAATGAGAATACAATGAAATATAATCAACAATAAATATATTCTAGTTTTATCACAGTGGGTAGAAAGATTGTATTTCTGACGTTTCGTGACTTAATCTAAGCCATTTCTTTACTGTGAAGAAGTGGCTTACATTAACTGACGAAACGTCCAAAAAATAAAATCTTTCTACTCATTGGAATATAACAAAAATATATTTATTATTAACATCCCACTCAATACTCAATTTATTTAAAACTATCACGTCTTACCTTGGCATTGATACCTATGAAATATAATTGATAGTTGAGATCATGAGTTAATTGAAGCTAGACCAATATGAAAAATCTGAAAGCATTGGATGGCTGTTTCGTCCCATTGTGGGACTCCTCAGTTAAGTTTATTCTTTCAAACTTGTTGATACATTATTCAATTAACAGTTTTTTTATATCAAGTTAATTATTTTCACAATTTAAACTTGTTCGAAATATTTTTTATTGTAGAGTTTTATCAAATAATAAAATTGAACATATTGAAGAGAACGCATTTAGTGAACTTACTAATTTACGACGTTTGTAAGTTTTGTATTATTTTCAAGTATTTTCACATAATTCGAAATTGATTACATTCAGAAGTATTACTACTAACTAATTTATTAAGTGGTATAATTTCATGTTTTTTTGTAAGACCTTATTTTCTTCATGAATAAACGTGATTGTAAGTTAACTTTTAGACATACCGATTCTTCTATTTTCTAAATATCATGTTATCACTCATTACGTACAAAACATATCAACTGCTGTATGTCTAATCAATAAACGAGAGTCTTCTGACTGTTATTTTACAAGTGAGTGAATTGGTTGAAATTAGAAGTTTAAACTTTTGGATACCAACTCATTGTTATGAAGGTTGGAGCTCATTGATATAGTTGAAGACTCGTGCTCGATTTCGTATGATATCTTATGCTTGCACTACTGAGGTTTCCAATACTAGGACGAAACAAGCATCCAATCCCTTTGTAATTCGTTATGTAAGCTATAAATCATAATTAGTACAAAAACTGGATCATTAACACTCAGTTTAAAATAATAGCTAATGGACGTAAAAGCAATGCATATTAACATCTTTAAGTTTTATTATTGAAAATCAGTTTATCGTTAAGTAATGTTTTCTAAAATTCATTTATGATAGTAAACAAGGACGATCTATGCCATATGAACAAAGTTTTATTTTTTATACTATGAAAAAAACAAAGAAAATCAAATAGCTGTCCGAAACTAACTTACACTATATGTACATCCGGCTAATAATGAAAATTCTGTTTCAACAGTTGAGATCATGAGTCATTTGAAGCTAGACCACAATAGAAAAATCTGGAAGCACTAGACGGCCGTTTCATCCTATTGTGGTCTAGCTTCAATTGATTCATGATCTCAACTGTTGAAATTACTACAATCTCCAAAAAAACCCCTTCTGATGAAAATTCTGTTTGTTATTTCTATCCACATAGTATTTATAATCTTTTTACGAAGAAACTATATTTCAGTAAGTAGTTGAATGTATATAATTTATAAATAAATTACGGTTTGAATTAAGAATAAGTTTAAAACGTTGATTATTGTTTATTTTTGTTTTTCTACTTTTGTAATAAGCATATTATTTCATTTCAGGAAACTTAATTCAAATTTACTACAAACTCTTCCGGATAATATTTTCACTTCGTTAAAACAATTACAACGTTTGTAAGTTAATCATATATTTGTATAGGTATTTTATAATGTTCCTTCAGTTTCATGAAAATAATAGCTATATATAACATTTTTAATTTTAATGTAAAATAATCTAAATTATGAACATTACGGATGTCGATAGGTTTGATATAGTTTTAATAAATTATTGCATGAAAGATAATGACATTTGGATTAGAAAAAGGTATTTATCTGTGTTAAACAAATAGATAAAGTATTTTGAATATAAATACCCCCAAATGCCCTGGTACAACCGAGGGTAGAGAGAGTCCACTTCCCCTCTCGAAATGCTCTCACATGGCCACGCTTATACAGCCACTGATAGGAACGTCCTACTCACTGCATTCTTGTGGCGGGGGTGTTGTTTACGAAATTGGGAGGGCAAAAAGCGAATGTCCGACGCTTTAACCGGGTTGGTGTATATATGGAGGATTCACCTAGGGAAGTTGGAAAACCCTGTTAACCAGTAGTGCACGGGCTGCAGGATCTTGGGCGAAAAAATGGCGTATGAACCAATTATTAGTCACCGACTACCATGGAAGTGCATCTCCTGACGTTGCTCCACTGCCTTGTGAGCCAGGGCTTTAGGTCGAAGGCTCCGTGGGGTCCCCTAAGAAAACCACCTACTTCAATCCGGGCACGCGGGGAATATCACAGCCCACACACAAGTCATGTGAGTTGTGTGGTGCATATGCATTCGGTGCCACTTTTTACCAATGTTTATGTGTTCAAATAAATAAGTTGAATATAAATTAATATTTATGGTATGAATATCAAAAGTATGCTATAGATATAAACAGCAAACCATCATATTTTTCTAGGGATAAGTTGATGAGCAAGTACAAATTTTAACAAACGACTATATCACGGATAAGTTAAATTGATAATGTCACCCAAAGTTGTGAAGCGAAATAAATATACAATGAATTTAGTCTCTAAAACTAGACTATATGATGTAATAGTTTTACGCAAAACAAAACAGTATAAATTCATTATAATTTATTTGTTATATGACACTGAGTGGTATATTTCAGTTATCAATCTAATGTAAATTGAACTAAATTGAATAATTAGACGGCGTTTCAAGGGTCAGAGTATCAAATTACCTAAAGGTTTTGGTAATAATTGTTTTATCTATGATATTACTAACATTTAATTGAACATGCTTAGTTGTCTAATGAAGCTGAATAAAGTCAAACCACTGATAAAACTATTTAACAGAGAAATGCAAATAAGCTTATTTATGAGTCATTATTTTCAACACCATCTAAGTGCATTACAGTTACATAATTCGTCGGTGGAGATAAGAAAAATACTTCTCAAGTACCAGGATTATCTCATCTGAGGGTCGTTTCTGAGGTAAAATGATGAGGGAAAAGGAGTATTGTAATAAAGATGAATATATTCAGTCTCTAAGTATGTAATGATGACAACCGTTATGTATGAGATACATATACACCATCATTTGTGGGTTTGTAATACTTATAATAATTAACGTAATGCATTTAAAACTTATCTGGTCACAATTTGACCTAACTTATTTCTGATTTGTTCACCTCTATGTCTTAATGCAGTTTTTCGTAAAACATGTGTCGAGTGGTTTCAATTTGTACATTTCGAAGTAAAATGATTTGGATTACATTTGATATGATTTCCATACGTCAGCCTGCAAACCCTATATACTATTATTTTGCTACTTTCAATATACATAAAAATGAATTAGCGTATTTGATTAGGACAAGTGTACACTAAATGAACTGTACTAGTAAAACTCTGGATAATGATATGACAACTATGACCGAATGATTGGTACATTTGCTCTAGATGTTGACGGTAATGGATATTAGTTCGAAATCCCAAGTCTATAAAATTGTATCATTATACAGGGACAACAATTACGTTCATAAGAATATGAATTATTTGTAGTAACAATACCATTAAAAAATTGATTTAAAAGTTAGAGTTTTGGTATGAGATATGTGGAGATTTTCATTTTCATTTTAAAGTAATTTTTTATCATGTAATGATAGTAGCTGGTGGATTATTGTGGGACTCCTCAGCAGTGATCATGCACGATCCCCCCGTGGATTCGAACCCAGGGCCTTCGATCTCGCGCGCGAAAGCTTAACCTAATGAACCACTGAGCCGGCATCCAATGGTGTCAATGTCTAGTCTCAACCAATCCACGAAATTGCGCGACCATCTTCCATTGTACTGACACACCCGTTTCTATCCGACACGGATTAGCTCCACTGTTCACGGCTTCCTACCAGAACTCCGAGAATTTTCTCACGAAGCTAGTCACTTATATTTTGAACTTTCTTTTAGCTGACTGTTATTAGTATAGTAATATTATGTCTCATTCTTTGTTCTCCTGAAACTGAAACCTTTTTTTGTTCTGACATGAAGTTCAACAAAGCGATTTAATATAATCTTAGTGCTAAATTATTTCTATTCATTTTTAATTCATAATCTTATAAACATATATATATATATATATATATATATATATATGTCCAGATATTCTAAGTATCTTTTAAATGATAACAGTACTTATCCAGTTAAACTTATGAATAGTATAAACATTAAATTTACACTTTCTTATTCAAGAATTCGAAAAGAATGCAAAGTGACTATCGATGAATATTATTCTTTATAATATAATGTAACATAATATGGGTATATATATATATATATATATATATATATATATATAATACGTAAAGTGTTTTATTTATTGAATAAGATAATATTTTAGACGGAAACTATACTCTTATATCATAATTCATTGGCCTGAAATTACAAACATATGGTTAATATGTTATTGTTAATTTTCTAGGTTTCTCCATTTATTTGCCCTCATAAACGCATTATTTAAACTCTAAAGTTTTATACTTAATACACATAGATACATACACACACACAGAAACATTTTATGGCTCATTAGAGTAAATTGTATGAATGTAGCAGCTGCTTTCAGGGCACATCTGTTACAAATCTGTTTTTAATGATTTTGGTCGTACTAATGTTTATCATCTGTAATTTTACACATATTGAATGTAGGTTTATTTCTTATTCTTTCTCTTATTTTTTGTTTCTACTAAAGTTCAGATCATCCATTTTTATGTTTAATTTACCGTGTTTTCTTTTCTAATGCAGTTCTTTTATTTTTTTCATCTTAGAACTTACTGTATATATTATTATATACATATATACAAATAGAGACGTTGTTTTCTTGTTTTTCTTTTAAAGAATTTTCATGGAATATCAAATTATCTATATATTAGATAATTTCTTATGTTTACTTCGTGGTAGATAATTGTCGGTTAAATAAAAGAACAATATTTTTTTGTTTTGTTTTGGTTTTAATATGTGAAATATTTGAGATTGAGATTTGGACTCTCTTCATATAAGCATAATTTTACACATTAACATTAGTATGTTCTATTGTTCAGTAAAATAGTTTGAGAACAATGAAGAATGAGTATGAATAATGAATGAATTGTGGGTTAATTTTAACTAGCAATCCATGTATTGTTATTCTGATGTCATATATATATATATATATATATATATATATATATATGATATCGATCACTTGGTTACCGCGCGCTCTTTATTTTAAATAAAAAAATTGATCATTTCTTTTCCTGGTTTAATATTCATATCTTACTCTGTACACGCACACAATCATCATTTCTTTGTTAACACTTATGCGAATATTCATTATGAGATATCATATAGTTTTCGTGTTATTTTTATAATTTCGTTTTCTTCTTTTTTTTTTGTTTGAAAAGTGAATGAAAAGCCGATTGTCAATGAAACTAGTAACACCCTCTCTAAGTAAAAAAAAATGTTAGACACAAATCTACAGAAATTTCAGACCACCATTATAGGAATTACAATTATTAGACAATATGCAAATAAAGACATTTTATGTTTTTTAAAATTATTTTGCACTATATAATTTGCCATTCACTAAACAGTAAATCAGCATATATATGTATATTGTAGACAAAATTTTTCATCTATATTCATCCAATCGGAATGAAATGAGAAAAAAAAACACACATGGAAACGTGACATTCATCTAATTAGAGATAGTTAAAGTGATGTTTATTCTTAAAGAAATGAGTCCTTTTTTTAAATTCACATTAAGCCAAAGAATAATCAGTTGTTTGTGAGACCAGCATATTTGGGTTAGATTATTGAAATGAGTATAATTCTAGAACTTATTTGGAGTATGTCATTTTTGTACAAACAAGTATTCCGATTTATTTATTAAATAAGTCATTGTATAGTGAACTTTTCTACAAAGTAAAATATCATTTTATAAAATTAGTTTTATTTGGATTAACGAATTGGAGATTGTTTATTATAGGGCTTATCATCAGTTATATACAATCAAGCTTTTATAAGATATTCGATCTAACTTTCGTGAACGCTTGTCGAGATTTTTTAACATCGTTTTAAATACATAGAACAGACTATATTGATATAACATTTCAGTAACTAACACTTTATAGTTTTTCTTACATTTTAACCTTTGAAAACAGAAAATGATGTAAGAGAGAGAGAGAGAGTAGAAAAATCTAAGACTACCAAAAAGCTTCAGTCAGATTGCATGATGAGAATATGTTTACAAATGAGAATTTTGCGGATAGAATCCATATTTATCTTGACATAGCTGTCACTGATCTATAGTGTTTTAGACATAATGTGATCAGTGCCAAGGTTTTTTGTTGTTTATGCCTAGACTAGCAAATAATATATTACATCATTTGAACGATATATATATATATATATATATATATAGCGGTGATAATAATCTACTTTTCCGTAATAATAAGGCAAAGGTCTTTTCTCTGTGATAACAATATTAGTTTTTTTCTTTGATGTCAGGTAATTAACTGATAAGAATATAAAAGCAATTCATTTATTCTTTAATTATCCATATTTTACACTACAAACCTAAATTAAAATATACAATGAAG